ACCTGCCTCCAGAAGCGGTGAATGCTCCAACACTGGAAGTTTTTAAGAAGAGACTGGCCAGCCATTTGTCCGAAATGGTATAGGGCTTCCTGCCTGAGCAGGGGGTTGGACTAGATGATCTCCAAGGTCTCTTCCACCTTTATTATTATTATTATTATTATTATTATTATTATTATTATTATTATTATTATTATTATTATTATTACTACTACTACTACTACTACTACTACTACCTACCTGGAATCTTTGTGGCCTTGCATCCTCCAACAAGAGCAGGAAAGAGCAGCCCTTTCCACACATGCTCTGCCCCATCTGATCTCTCTCATCTTCCATTTAGATTTTCCCACTCACAACTCTGCCTTGGTCCCTGTTGGACTTCATCTTGCTGATTTCTTCCATTTCGGCTCATCAAGGTCTTCTTGAATCACAATTCTATCCCCATTATTTTGCATCTTCAACAAATAATCCTATTTTTTCCTCCCTCTTCCAGGTCATTTACAGATTATGTTCAAAATATCACTGTCGGCATCTCAGACTTTTTCCATTTCTCTTTGCAGGAGATCAGTGGAGATGCGGCCATGAGCTCCACAGAGGAGAAGGGGCATTCTTGGATCAGGACCCACAAACCTTTGGTTGGGACTCCATTCTAGATAAATTGGAAATCGTGGCCCAGTTGGAAAAGCAGCTTCCTGCACAAAGGGCCAATCGATTAAGCAGAGATCAAACCGGTCAACGGTGAGGTTCATACCTGGCGTTGACTCAGAGGAGGAACAACTGACCCAGAGACCTCTTAGCTGCAACTTTAAAGGTGAGTAAACAAATCTTGGATTGGAAAATAAGGATTTGTTATCTTTATTTGACAAAAGAGCAATGCAGAGAAATTGAGTTTTGCTCCCAAGATGACGGGTGATGTCGTAATGTAGCTCCATTAAGGAATACACGTTGAGTGCGGTTGGTCAGCCAGTTACGAATCCATCTGGTGGTGATGCTGTCTATCCCACAATTTTTCTATCTTACCAAGAGGTTGGCTGTGGTCTGCTTTGTCACGTGTCTTACTGAAGTCCAAGTATATTTTGTCCACAGAACATGGCTATTCCACTGATGCTATTCCACTGATTCAGTCACTTGGTCAAAGAATGCAGCAAGATTTGTCTGCCATGATCTGCTTTTGACAAGCCCATGTTGGCTTTGTTTGTTTCTGTGTTTTCACAGATCCATTGCTTGATTCTCTTTTCCAGGATTTTCTCAGGTATTGAAGTCAGGCTGATTGGTCCTTAGTTTCCTGGATCCATTTTTTGCCTTTCTTGTAGTTATTTTATAAAATATATAAAATGTGATGCACAGAAGCCAGAATAAAGAAGTCATGATGGGATGGAGTTCCTAAGTGAAAAAGTGAGAAGAAGCACAAAAAAAGGGATAAGAGTGGTGGGATTCAGCTAGTTTGCACCACTTTGGCAGAACCGGTAGCTAATTTTTTGTTGCCCAGGCCCAGAATGGACTTCCGGAAGCGTCATCCACACAGAGAACCGGTTGTTCACATATTTGAATCCCACCACTGGGATAAGAATCAAAAATGGGTTGCTTACACTAGCATGGACTCACTTTCCTTCTTCTTTGCTTCTGTAATGCCTTAGCTTTTTATATATCCCAGGGGTAGGCCACCTTGGCTCTTTTATGACTCGTGGACTTCAACTCCCAGAATTCCTGAGCCAGAGCCATGCTGAGGGGAAAGGGAGAGGTTTCCATGCTGAGCCATGCTGGCTCAGGAATTCTGGGAGTTGAAGTCCACGAGTCATAAAAGAGCCAAGGTTGTCTACCCCTGGTATATCCGGTAGTTTGTCCTGGACTTATGACCACAATTAGCACTGGAATGTTGATCATTGAGCAATGTGATCATTAAGTAAGAGATCACGTGAGAGCTTAGCTCAGTGCCTGCAATCCTATATCCCTGGTTGTGGCTGTTAAGCGATTTCACATGTTGTTAAGCAGGTAAGGAATGTGCGGCTGTCTTAAGTGGGCAGAAGAGGCCTTGTGAGTCCCAGCACAGACCATGTTTGATTTCCAGGGCTCCTGGAGAAGCTTAGAGATGCTTTGGGACCCGTTGCTTGGCAACGATATGGAACACGCGGCTTGGAGAGTGGCGCAAGGCTTCAGAGGCCTCCGGTCTGGGGATGAAGGCCTTGTTTCTCATTGTCAACGATGACACTGGGCCGAAGTCCAAGCCTGGCGTCAGTGGCAGATGGCTGAAACCAGCCTCCATTTAAGGGCCAGCCCCATCCCAGCATTATTGTCAGTCAGGGCTGCTTTTCATGGCTGGACTTGGGTGGCTCAGGAATCCCAGAGTGGCTACAGCTTTGCATCTCACTTCGATAGCCCCCTAACTCATGGGTGGGCTGTGCCTGGTTTCCAGGACCTCCTCTACCCCTGAGATGCCCCATAGCCATTGCCTAGGCCACGGGTAGGCAACCTTGGCTCTTTTATGACTCGTGGACTTCAACTCCCAGAATTCCTGAGCCAGCCATGCTGAGGGGAAAGGGAGAGGTTTCCAAGCTGAGCCATGCTGCCTCGGGAATTCTGGAAGTTGAAGTCCACGAGTCATAAAAGAGCCAAGGTTGCCTACCCCTGCCTTTTACCATTTCAGACAGGTGGCTGTCCAGTCTTTTCTTAAAAACGTCCAGTGATGCACCCACAACCTCTGAAGGCAAGCTATTCCATTGGTGTAATTGTTCTCTCTGTTAGGAAGTTTCTCCTTAATTCCAGGTTGCTTCTCTCCTTGATTAGTTTCCATCCATTGTTTCTTGTCTTGCTTGGAAGACAAATACAATTGTCATTGGATAGAATTTCTATAATTAAAAATGACTATATTACCTAGGCCAGGGGTAGGCAACCTTGGCTCTTTTATGACTCGTGGACTTCAACTCCCAGAATTCCTGGGCCAGCATGGCTCAGCTTGGAAACCTCTCCCTTTCTCCTCAGCATGGCTGGCTCAGGAATTCTGGGAGTTGAAGTCCATGAGTCATAAAAGAGCCAAAGCTGCCTACCCCTAGCCTAGGCCGCTCTCCCTCCATTTCAGCACCCTCTAGAAGATCACTTAACGACCACAACCAGGACTGTGGGACTAGGGTTAGTGAGTGAAGTGGCCATGTCACCTCTCCCTTAACTACTGCTTCACTGAGCGGCCGAGATTCCAATCCCAATTGTCGGCACAACTCCTTGTAGTTTAAGAGCTGCTTTTCCCCCCTTGCCATAAGACAAGAACCGAGGAGGAAGAGGTAGAGTCAATGATCAGCAGAAGAGTTTGCCTCATAGAGATGTGGAGTGATGAAATCAATGGAGATTTTTGTCTCAGAGATTTTGAACGGAGGACCCATACCCTGGGTAGAAGGTCAGACTGGAAGACCTTCAGGGTCCCTTCCAAGATGAAGGGTTTGGGATTCTCTACCTTTCTCTAAAGGAAATATTATTCTCCCTTTCTTTTTCTTTCTAACAGAGGATAAGAGATTTTGATCAAATATTCACCTGCAAGTCAACTATCAGCAGATAATAGAAAATCAGCACAATGCAGCAGTCGCCAGAAAGGATGGAGCCTGGGAAACTCTTGGATCCCCCGTCAGACACAAGCAGCACTCCGGAAAACCACAAAAGAACCCATGAATGCTCAGAGTGTGGAAAATCCTTTGCTCGCTGGTCCCTCCTTTTGACCCACAGGAAGTTCCATGTGGGAAGTCGATCCAGTGAAGGTTTGGAGGGTGAGAAATCCTTTTCTGGAAAAGACGCCAAAGATCCCAGAAGCCCTTCCAGAGTAAAGCCCTATAAATGTGAGGAATGTGGCTTATGCTTTGGTCAAAGGTCACACCTTCTTACACATCAGAAAATCCACACTGGAGAGAAACCTTATCAGTGTCTGGAGTGTGGGAAATTTTTCCGTACAACAGGTAATCTCAGAGAGCACGAGAGAATTCACACAGGGGAGAAACCTTACAAGTGTTGGGAGTGTGGGAAGAGCTTTTCTCAGAAGGCCGGTCTTAGGGCCCATGAGAAGATTCATGCAGGAATAAAACCTTACAAATGCTTTGAGTGTGGTAAATGTTTCACTCAGAGTTCGGCTCTTCGGAGTCATGAGAAAACACACAGCGGGGAGAAAAATGAAAAGTGCCTCGAATGCGGGAAATGTTTTTCCAGGAAATCAAACCTGGTGAAGCATCAGAGATATCACACCGGAGAAAAACCCTATGAATGCCCAGAATGTGAGAGACGATTTGTGGATTCTTCTGAACTTCGGAGACACCAGAAGTGGCACAAAGGGGAGCTACCCTACGAATGTGGGATGTGTGGGAAAAGTTTTCTTACACGAACAGAGATTCAGGCTCACGAGAGAATCCACACAGGGGAGAAGCCATTCAAATGTGGGGAGTGTGGGAAATGTTTTGCCAAAAAAGAAAATCTTGGAAGCCATCACAGAGTCCACACAGGAGAGAAGCCGTACAGATGTGTAGAATGTGGGAAATGTTTTGGACACAAGGGAGCCCTTTGGAGACATCATAAAACCCACACAGGGGAGAAGCCACATCAGTGCAACGAATGTGGAAAATTTTATCGTACCTCATCAGCCCTTAAATGCCATGTGAAAATTCATACGGGGGAAAAAAACCACAAATGTTTAGACTGTGGGAAAACATTTGCTCTGTCATTTAACCTTAGAAGTCACAGCCGAATCCACACAGGAGAAAAGCCCCATAAATGCTCGGAGTGCCATAAATGTTTTTCTCAAAAAAGGTCTCTTTTGAAGCATCAGCAAATCCACACTTGAGAAAAAACAAATGTCTAGAGAGAGGAAAATGATTTGCCCAACGTTCAGCACTTCGCGCGCACACCCGAAATCACACAGGAGAGTGGCCTTACAAGTATGCAGAGTGTGAGAAAAAACTTTTCGTTGTAAATCACAATTAAAAAAGCACCAGAAAGTCCATAGCAGAGATAAATCCCTTCGGTTGTGAACAATGCAGGTGCAACATCAGAAATTTCACATTGGAGAGAGACCCTATGAAGGCCCAGAATGTGTGAGAAGCAATTTGTGGAGTCTTCTGAACTTCGAACATTCCAGAAGGGGCACAAAGGGGTGAAACCCTATAAATGTAGGGAATGTAGGAAACGTTTTGTTTCACAGTAACATGCTCAGAGTCATGAGAATATCCACGTACGGGAGGAGCCGTACAAATGTGTGGAGTATGGGATGTGCTTTTCTGAAAAACACAACCTTAGGAAACATCAGAGGCTCCACACAGGAGAGAAGCCATAGAGATGCCTAGAATGTGGGAAATGTTTGGTGTCAACGCTGCTAACATCGGATGTTCTTGCTTTGACAATATATGAAGATGCAGACATTTTCTATTTAACCTGTGTATTAGAATTAAATGGTGCTGGAGAGGAATGGGGAAGAATGTGCATGGGGATAAGTAGCCATAACAATATAAAAAATGGCGGGTTATGGAACGGGAGGGAAAGTTCGCTCTTCAAACTAATTGGAGAATGTGATTGACTGTTAAATGGAGGAGTGAATTATGCTTCAGTAATTCACCAGGAACTACACACTGTCACAGAAGGGAAATCCTACAGTTTTTTGGTGTGGGGAAACCTTCACAATCAGGAAACCAGTATGACCATTTTTTTTGTCCCAGTTTCTTCTGCTTTTTGTACACCAAAGTATCCACACAGGAGAGGTTTCACAAATGCTTCAGCAGAAATCATAATTTTATTTCTGATTTTTTTATTTTTCATTTTAGATATTAAGATTTTGGGGTCCCGAAGAGAAGAAGGAAACTCCGTTTAGACGCCTCAGATAATATGAGGTGATGGAAATTGCCTTGTGATTCCGTTGCAACTAAAATGACAAGGAATCCCCTTTTCCTCTTGAATGTGTATTTACCTCCCAGCCCAAAGACCAGAGCCCAAGGGCCTCCTGGTGGTCTCTCCTCCAGCACTGCCGAACTTTCCTAGAGTGGCCAAGGTGTGGCCTCTTAACTGAGACAAGCACAATGAAAGGGAGGGTCTGTGGGTCTGGCAAGATGGGGTTAAGGCAAGTCAAGAGCCCAGTTAAAACTCAGGAGCTATCTCAGGGAAAAACTGCAAAGAGGGAGAGGGTTTGTGCTAAGTGACCGAGAGTCTTTTTGGAGTTAGGCAGGATTAACAAATCAAAGAAATAAATAGAATCATGGAATAAATATCCTATAGCACAGCAGACAGAAGCCTAGCTAGCCCTTCCAAAAATGGCAATTAAATGGTCTCCTTTATTTCAAATAACATATATAATAATAGAGGGAGATCTATTTGATGATCTAAAAGCACTGATATGGAAGCCTAGTTGGCAAAGGAAGAAGGCCAGAATAAGGCTGAAGAAAATTGGGATTTTGATTTATTAGAGGGGATTTCATATTATTAATTAGAGAGTTAAAGGGAGAAGTTGGGATGGGGAATTCTGGTCATTAGATTTAAAATATTTGGAAATTAGTTGAAAATAAGGATTTTATCTGTTTAATATTTAAAAAAAATATATCTAAAAGAAAAAATCAATTGTGAATATGTTTGGTTTATTGATTAACTCAGGTAATATATATAATGGATTTGATTTATTAAAGGGGATATTGTATTATTAAGTAAATGATTTAATACGGTGGGAAGTAGATAACTTTTAGGAAATAGAACAAGATTACGTTCAAATAGATAAAATGTATATTTTGGATATTAGATTCTGTTATGAATTGAGATAAGGAAAATCTTGGTTACCTAAAGCCTGAAAATTATAAATATCAAAGGTTAAATTGGAATACTGATGGGAAACTTAAAATTGGGAAAAAATTATTAACAGGATATGGATTGTTTATGAAGAGTGAATGTAAAAAATAATTAAGATATGTATAAGCTAAAAATTTATTGATAAATTTAATATTGATGTTTTTACTGAGTTGATATAATAAGAACTGTATTAGTTTAAATACGAGACAGTAAATGTTAAGGGAAAAAGAGAGGAAATATTTGATGTTGTAACTTGAGATTTGTACTAAAGATTTTGTTATCGAACTATTGATTAAACCAGCCACCATGTTGCTTTTTAAATACTTAAATGTAAAATTGGAAAATTAATAAAATATTATATATATATATATATGTGTGTGTGTGTGTGTGTGTGTGTGTGTGTGTGTGTGTGTGTGTAGGTCTTGGCGTATTCGGGTCTTTTCCCGTGTAAGATTGAGAGTATCTTGGCGAGGTTTCGACGAGTTCCCACTTGTCATCTTCAGGCTGGGGTCTTCGGCTTTGTGCTTCTGCGAGCAAAGTGTGATCGGAGCTGCTGTCTATCTATAAATCTTGGTGAGGGTGTGTGGAGTGCTGGTTTTGTTCTGTAGGTGGGTTGGTTGGCTGTGTTGGAGTTATTGTTTGCGGATTGTTCGGCTGTTTCGTAACATCCTGAGTAGCTGAGATGCTGGCTGTGTGCCCATTAGTCTTTTGTGTTGTAACGACCTGGGTAATGGGCTGTGTGATGACATCCTGAGATCTAGTGTAGTGATATCCTGAGTTCTGTGTTGCAACATCCTGGGTGGTTGGCTGTGTTGTAACATCCTGAGCTTTAGCGTTGTAACCTCCTGAGTTCTGTGATGTGATGTCCAGAGCAGAAGGCTGTGATGTAACATACCGGGCTTTGGTTTGGCTCCGAGTTTGCGGTCTAGCTCTGTGTTCATGGTGTGTGTCCGTTTGCTTTGTGTGGGGGTGGAGGGAGGGAGGTGCAGCAGCTGGTGATGTCGTCGTGGTTTGGCTTCTGGATGGTGGTTGCATTTCGTCTGAGGGGTGGATTTGGGATTGGGTTTGGGTCTGGTGAGGGTGAATGGTGGTGGCGTCCTGTGTTGTTCTGGGTTAAAAAAGATGCTGAGACTCTAGAAAGAGTGCAGAGAAGAGCAACAAAGATGATTAGGGGACTGGAGGCTAAAGCATATAAGGAAAGGCTGCCGACACCGGACCCAGAACATATATAAAAGAAAAACCACAATACATTCACGACTGCCCATTAGAGGATTTCACAATCAATTAGCCTTAGGCAGAAATAAATAAGAAAAGGTGCCAAATGCACAATTTCTTTGATTCCTGAGAGACCTTTCAAGGTGCCAACCACACAAGGTCAGCAACATCAAGAAGTGCCAAAAAAAAAAGCCAACGGAGTCCCCATTAACAGAGGGATAGAATCAAGTTCACATGAAGTGTTAGTACGACTTTACAATGCCTTGGTAAGGCCACACTAGGAATACTGCATCCAGTTTTGGTCACCACGATGTAAAAAAGATGTTGAGACTCTAGAAAGAGTACAGAGGAGAGCCACAGGGGACTGGAGGCCTAAACATACAAAGAATGATTGCAGGAATTGGGTATGTCTATTTTAATGATGAAAAAGGACTGCTACACTGCCGTATCACATTTTTTGAAGAATGCGCAGGACTACGGGGTGGACCCTAAACAGATCGTGCTGGCTGGTGACAGCAGTGGAGGCACACTTGTTGCCAGCACTGCTCAGCAACTTCTGATGACAAAGGACCTCCCACAGCCCCGGGCCCACATACTAATCTATCCTTTCCAACAAGGCCTGGATTTCAATTTACCTTCTTACCAGCAAAACCAGTCTATTCCCCTCTTAGTCAAGAAAGAGGCTGTTCGTCTTGGCACATTTTATCTCTTGAGAATCAATGCCGGGATCAATGAAATTATGGCCAATGCCCACATCCCGCAGGAACTCAGGGAAAAGTATCAGAAATGGATCAGTGCTGAACATATTCCGGAGGAATTTAAAGGCCGGGGTTACGTGCCATTTGTACCTGGTCCGTTTTCAGAAGATCTTTTCAAAAAATGCAAAAGAGTTTTCGACCCCGTATTTTCCCCACTCCTGGCGGAAGACGCCATCATCCAGCAGTTTCCAGAGACTTTCCTTTTAACCTGCGAATACGACATTTTCCGAGATGATGGCTTGCTCTATAAGAAGAGGCTGGAAGACAACGGTGTCCCTGTCACCTGGGTTCACCTCAAGGACGGATTCCATGGGATCGCCTTGCTGATAGATATGGGGTCAATGCAGTTTCCAGGTACGAGGAAGAGTATAAATAGTGTAATCCAATTCCTAGAACGATTCTAGAAATCCAACAGCCTCATTCCTCTGCCTTGTTCATCTAGCCCTTGCCTTACAGATCTTGATCTGAAGAGGTGATACCCTATAATTTCATCCATCTGTCCTGCTTAACTGACCTGAAGATGGTCCACCAGCTCTTTGAAGAGACACATCCTTGCCCTCTCCAGCTGGTTCATAGCCCATCACTCAGGTAGTCTGGTGTCAGGTTGTGCCAGGAAACTGTGGTTTTCCCTGTTACCCAAAAAAACAGAATTTCCCACATGGACAGTCTAAATGGCACCAAGGCACAGTTGGGAGTGGCCAGATGTCTAACTTTTGCGCTCTCCTACTCCCTATAATCACGACAGTGGTTCTTTGGAATATCAAACTTGTGGAGAATATTGAACATGACAGCACAAGGAAACAACAGCCCATCGCCAACCATCAACACCCCAATCAGCCAATAGGAACTCACCACATAATTGTGACTCACAGAATAGCTCAAAGCGCATATAGGTAGTCCTCGACTAACGATCACAATTGAGCCCAAAATTTCTGTTGCTAAGTGAAACATTTGCTAAGTGAAATTGCCTTGTTTTACCACTTTTCTTGTCACAGTTGTTAAGTGAATCACTATAGTTGTTAAGTTAGTAACACAGTTGTTAAGTGAATCTGATTTCCCCATTGACTTTGCTTGTCAGAAGGCAGCAAAAGGTAATTACATGACCCCAGGACACTGCAACCATCATAAATATGAGCCAGTTGCCAAGTGTCAGAATTTTGATCATGTGACCCTGGGGATGCTGCAACGGTCTTAAGTATGAAAAACGGTGATAAATCACTTTTCTCAGTGCCGCTGTAACTTTGAACAGTCACTAAACGAACTGTTGTAAGTCCAGTAAAGAGAGGTTTCCTCAGGATGGGCTCCAGCATGGGTCTGAATGCTCAGAAGAGTAAACCTCTGGTCCTGGTGACTGACCCAGATTGGATCTTGCAACGTTATCCTGGGACATGTATATGTGCCTTCATTTGTCATGGAAAATCCAGTGCAGCTCTTTCAGGAGACCATTATTCCCACAGGCAGACAAAAAGATGAACAAAAAAAGAGATTCAACCCCCAAAAGCTCTGGAGGCCTATTGTGCTAGCCCC